ACGGCACCACCATCTCCAGCCTGTCCATGAACAAGGATGGCCTGATCGGAGGTGTGACGAACCCCAACGAGGTGTTCTGCTCCGTGCCCGGACGCCTCTCCCTCCTCAGCTCCACCTCCAAGTACAAGGTGACGGTCGGGGAGGTGCAGAGGAGGCTCTCACCCCCCGAGTGTCTCAACGCCTCTCTGCTCGGGGGGGTCCTCCGCAGGTAAGCTGCTCCAAGGTCCACAGGACCTGCGTTCAGCACCGGCTCTTACCCCTCAGACCATCAGAGATAAGAATTCCTGGGCTGTGGTATATTGGGAAATAGGTTTTTTGTTGCTTTTTCTTCTTTTGTTTCAAGCCTCACAGCTTAAATTAGGATTACGGTTATTTTAACACTCATTGCATTGGTTTATTTTTTCCCCCCCTCTTTGTTTTCTCCTTTCAGAGCCAAATCAAAAAATGGAGGTCGGTGTTTAAGGGAAAGGTTAGAGAAAATTGGACTAAATCTACCTGCAGGAAGGCGCAAAGCTGCCAACGTCACTCTGCTGACATCCCTGGTGGAAGGTAAGAGCCACTCCCTGTCCCACCGAGGCTGGGAGTGCTGAGACCTCCATCCCTTCATTTCCAGCTTTCCACAAACCAGAGTATAGAGCTGGTACCTCCAAATGAGCCTGGGAATGGCCCTGTGTAAGTCTCCATGCTGAGCCAAGTGTGTCCTTTTAAATGAGCAGAGCCTTGGGAAGGCAGAGGGGAGAACACAAATTAAGCCAAGACAGTAAATACCCAAGAAAATGCCCAAGCAGGGGGGTGGAAAGGGATGGAACTCTGCAGGGGATGAGGGAGACATCAAGGAGCCATCAGCGAGCTCTGAGGTGCTGCAGGTGGAGGTGAGATGTGCAGGTGTTGTCCTTGGAGCGAGGCACCAAGGGCTGATCTGTGTGTGAGCTGCCTCTGCCCAAAGCCACTCGGCTGTTTCCTCCCCTCCTGCTGCTCTGCACCATGGAAATGATGATGTCGAAGGGACACGGGACACAAACAGACGGAATGCCAGCCCCGAGCTCCGGAATCCTTTGTGTCCCCGCAGCTGCCTGCGGATCCCGCATAGAAAACCATCCCCATTGTCGCCGGCAAATTAAATGAGCCGCTTCATTAGGCGGAGCTGTTACCCAGGGCAGTCGGTTCCCGCTGAATGAAAGGCTGATTTCCATGAAGAGAAAAGGAAGAAGAGAAAGGAGGGAAGAAAAGTGCGGTTTGATTTCAGGTGGCTGCTGATGGTTTGATTCCCGCTGACCAGCTCACAGTAAATCAGAGCAGTGCCATGTGTGTTGGATGGATAGAATTTCCTCCTGCACTAAGCCTGATGGTGCCAGGAGATGTTCCTCTGCCTGCCAAAGTCCTCTGAGAGCTCTGCCCCAGTGTCTCCTCCCTGGGGTCTGACTGAGTGTGGCCTGAACACCTCTCCCTGGAGCCAGACTGCCCCGTGCCCCCAGCATCTCTCTAATCCAACATCCAAACTGCCTTTAAAACCTTCAGCCACTCACACACCCACGGAGGAAATAAATCCTGGCTCCAGCCCTGGGGTCACTCAACCCTTTTTGATCATCCCAGGAACAGTTTCCCAGCAGTTTTTCAACACAAAAACAACTGCAGTTCTGATTCTTTAGGTTTACCTGATTTGCTCCTTGTTTGGAGGAGGAGACGAAGTGAAAAGTACTGTCATTCTGTGGGAAGGACAGACACTTCCCTGTCTCAGCCGGAGCTGGGGTGGGATCTGGGTTAATGCTGGGAGGATGGATGGCCTAATACGTGTGAGCAGCAGGGGGGCCATCAAATGAGCTCTGCCTGCCCGAGCAGGATTTCGGGTGTTGGGCATGATCAATTGCCATCAGCTCTGATTATTTCCACAGGGACGCCTGGAGATGGATCAATTCCATCCATGGGTGGGCATTTCCACGGGGTGATGGATACGCTGCCTGTGCCTCCAGCCCGAGGGCCACAGCTCATCGCAGGAGGACCTAACCCCCTTCCTGCTGCCCCTTCCCCACTGCAGTCACAGGGCTGGGGTGGCTCTTTCACCCTCTGGCCCCTGTTTCAAACTCTGCGCAGTTTGAAAAGGCCAAGCAGGAAATCTGGGAAGACGTAGGGAGAGAAAGAGGCAGCAGGGGATGTGCCAGTGAGAAATGCCTCTGCTGTTCTTCCTTTTGGAGTCACACCTCACCTGCTCCAACCCAGCACCTTCTGCTGCTCCCCTAAGAACCAGGAAAGATCCAGCTGCTGTTTGGAGCTGGCTGTGGCTCGTTTAGCCCACGTAGACTAATTGCCTTACAGATGAGAATAGAAACTCACAGTGGTGTCTTTGCACCAAGAGCTGAAGGTGGGCAGAGCTCCTGGGTGGACACTGAGGCAGGGAAGTGCCCCAGTCCCACCAGAGAGGTGGCTGGAGCTGCTGCAGAAGTGCTGCTCTCACCCCAGTGCTGACACAGCTTGTTGGTGTGTCCTGCTTGCAGGTGAAGCCATTCACCTGGCTCGGGACTTCGGCTACGTCTGCGAAACAGAGTTCCCAGCCAAGGCGGCGGCAGAGTACCTGTGCCGCCAGCACTCCGACCCCACGGAGCTCCACACCCGCAAAAACATGCTGCTGGCCACCAAGTGAGTACAATGGCAACGAGCCACTGGTGTGCTTGGTGCCCACAGCCCGGGAGGGCAGTGCTGCCCCCAGTTTGCTCCCCTGTGGGGAAGGGGTGGGCTCACGTGCTGCAGGAAGATGTGCAGCAGCACAGTGAATGGGCTGCATGGACCAAAGGGTTTGCTCCTCTGTGGGAGAGGGTGATCTCACCCCAAGGAGCGTTTTGGCACTGCTACGCATGCCCCTTCCAAGCAGGAGCAGTGCCAGTGACTCCAACTCTGCATCCAGGGGCTTTCCCCAGGCTGGAGGTGAAAACTCCCAGAAGAAAGGTGGATGTTTGGGCAGGGAGCAGGCAAAGAATCCCCAAACACACTCAGACTTGTGGCTGCCCCATCCCTGAGTGTGTTTAAGGCCAGGCTGGATGGATCCCTGAGCAACCTGCTCTAGTGGAAGTTGTTCCTACCCAATGCAGAAGGTGGTTCTGGATGAGCTTTAGGGTCCCTTCTAAGCTAAACCATTCTGGGATTCTCTGACTCTCCGTCCTGCTGCTCCACACCAGCATTACAGTGACCAAACCTCTCTCTTCCAGGCAAATTTGCAAAGAGTTTGCAGACTTGATAGCCCAGGATCGGTCCCCGCTGGGGAACAGCCGCCCCTCACTCATCCTGGAGCCTGGAGTGCAGAGCTGCCTGACCCACTTCAGCCTCATCACCCACGGCTTCGGGGGCCCTGCGATCTGTGCTGCGCTCACCGCCTTCCAGAACTACCTGCTGGAGTCCCTCAAGGGGCTGGACAAAATATTCATGAACAGCACAGGGAACGGGCACACAGCTGGGGACTCCAAAGCCTCAGAAAAGGAGGTGAAGCATCGGAAATAACGCGCTGCCTCCTGCCCTCCCACGGCTCCCAGGGGAGACACGACCCACTGCACTGTTTTCTGAACTGCTGTGTTCGAATGTGGGAGGAAACTCATAAAGCAAACCAAGAAAAGACAAAAAAAAAAAAAAAGAGAAGAGTTAAGAATTGAAGAAGAGAACAGCCCTAGTGGATGTGATGAGGCCCAGGGAAGCCAGGCCCATGGCTCTGGGGTTTTGCAGGAAGCCAAGTCATGTGCAATTTGATTTTGTTTTGTTCGTTTGGAAACCCATAGTGAAATCCTGATGTGCTCCAGGAGTTGGTTCCAGCTGAAAAACTGAAAGAGCAAAAGCCTTATCAGTGCTCGGAGCAGGAGCTGTTTCCCCACCCACAGCCCAATCCCAACACCAGGCCAAGGAAAATTGCCAGCAGAACTGCTTTGGATTTAAAGCAGGTCCAGACTTCGTTTACAGCTTCGAATTGGACTCCCTGTGGGTTTTACCATGGGCTGAGGAGCCCCAGGCCATGGCACAGGGAGGAAGGACCACAGAGCCAACGCGTCCCGGGGCAGGACCGGGGAGAGCCTGGTCCTGGGAGAAGCAGGTAAAGTCAAACCCAGGACTAACCAGAACTCCACAACTTACAGATAACAGCACACGAGTCTCTGAAAGTACTAACAATACTAGTTAATAAAGCACAAGGAGCAGAACTTGAACGAGGCCAAACTGAACTCTTGGAAATCTGTAAATATTTATTTATGTGTAATTAAAATCGGAAAGTTTTAAAATGTCCAGTGCAAGTTATTTATATCAAACTGAGTTGGGGTTTTTTTTGTTTTGTTTTGCCTTTTTTTTGTTCTGTTTTGGGTTGTTTTGGTTGGGTTTTTTTTTCCTGAAAGACGAAAATCTTTGGATTTTCTGCCATTAGAAATGGGAATGAAGTTTTGGATCCACCAAACTGTAGCATGGACGAACTAGGCTGTGATGATAATGACTCTAGAAGTTCTGCAGGATTTTGTACTTGCTGTTGTTTCTCTTAATGCTGCAATAGATGTACAACACCCACACCACAATGTCATTCTCATGCTCTTAATAAACCTCTTTTTATTTGAAGAAAACACCTCCATCGTCTTTGTGAACAAGGACCTTTCTGCCTCAGTGGTTGTAGCTTGAAATTGTAGAGATTAATTTCATGGAATTTATGTGAGGAGAGGCTGAGGGAGCTGGGGGTGTTCAGCCTGGAGAAGAGGAGGCTCAGGGGAGACCTTCTCACCCTCTGCAACTCCCTGCCAGGAGGTTGGAGTCAGGTGGGGGTTGGTCTCTTCTCCCAGGACAAGAGGGCACAGACTCAGCTCTGCCAGGGGAGGGTTAGGTTGGAGATTAGGAAGAGATTTTTTACAGAGAGAGTGCTCAGGCATTGGAATGTGCTGCCCAGGGAGGTGGTGGATTCACCATCCCTGGAGGTTTTCAAGCTGAGACTGGATGTGGCACTTAGTGCCATGGTCTGGTGACCACGGTAGGGTTGGACTTGATGATCTTGGAGGTCTCTTCCAACCAGGTTGGTTCTGTGATTCCATGGCATGAAATGATATAGATGTAAGGAAGACTCCTCAGTTTCAGTGCTGGGATTGAGTGATGCCAGAGGCAGCACTCAGGGAGTGACAGGAGCTCATGCCCAACGTCCTCAGCCCTTGCGGCGCCGGCGCCGCCATAGACAAAGAGTGAGATGATGTGTTTGCTTCAGAACGACTCAGGGTAGTCAAATCCAAACCCGTCTGTGAAGAGCTGCAGAAGGACCTCATGGTATCAGGGATAAATTAGCAGATAAAATAACCCCAGTAACTCCAGGCAGTGAAGCTCCAAATTAGCTGCAGCGTTCGTGGCAGGAGGACTCTGTGCTTGAAGTCTTCCCTGCACATCCACTGCTCCTCACAGCAAGGGGCTGGGCAGATGGAACAGGTCTGAGCCACAGCAACACTCTCTGTCTGGACCCTCCTCAGTCATACCTGAAGAGTTTCTCTGGAGGTGCAGAATTGGCTGATGATAGTAGAGGGAAAAAAAACCCAAATTGTCCCAAAAGACACCACAAGAGGTTTGAAACAAACCTTCTCCCTTTCAGAAAGGTGTGAAAGGAAACATCTCATGTCCTACTATAATTTGTGGGATGGCTCAGCATCAGAAACTTGCATCTAAATATTCCCTTCAAAGCTTAGGGAGGCATTTAAATTGGGAATCGGATTGGAAACATCCCTTGGTATGAGGTTTGTGAAAGCAAAGACCTAAACGACGGGATCTGCAGGTCTGGTTTTGCTCTGGAGCATCCCAAAGGAAGAGTCAAGGAGCAAGGAGGAGCCAGGAAGCAGAATGGAAATACTCCAGACACATCAGAGGTTTGTTTACACTTCAAAGCCAGTTGGGATAATGAGGGTGTGAGCACAAAACTATTCCTGTCTAGAACTATTCCTGTTCTGCATCAGCATAATCCACATTTAAATGGATTATGCTAAAGGAGAGTAAGGTGCTTTTGTGCTCCAATACAGGTTTCCCTATGTGGGGTTATTTAGGATGACTCTCCCGAAGTAATTCCCTTTGGTTCAGTATCAGAGCAGAGCCAGCGACGCCACAGGATGAAAGTGTGTGTGCCCCTGTCCTATCCTGGCCTGAAACATCCTTCCCTAATTCCACCCCATTATGCAAACCTGGCTGGGCCGGGGCACTTTGAATATCAAGGAATTCTTAGACACAGCAGCGATGAGCAACACAGACAGAGAACCAGGATCTGCCTCCAGTAATTACACGCCACATCCATCGGGTGCTCAACACCTCCCTCCTCACCTCCCTCTTGGGGACCTGCAAGTCTCTGGAATGTTTTATGAGGAACAGTCTGGGGCCTCCAGTGACCCGGCAGTGGGAGGAAGTTGGATGGTTTGGATTCACTTGTTGATGCCAGCACAGATGCTCAAGACCTGTGACGGACACATAACATAGGATCAACGCTCTAAAAGCATCAAGGCTTGCCAAAATTGTGGACACCCTCATTCCTGTGGGCCCACAGAGATACCCAGAAGGGTCAGGGGTTGTGCCAGGCCCGTTCTTGTCCTTGTCTTGCTCTGGAGTTCTCTCCCAGCTCGATGTCAAACGAGGCCATCCCCTGCCATGTCCTCTGCCTCTCCCTCCTCACAGCAAAAACAGCCACTTTACACAATTTGGGGCTCAGCCTTGGCAGAAATTCCCACACTGATTACAAATCTTATCGTGGGAAAATACCCAGGATTGTATCAAAGAGTAAAAATAGATCCAGGCTCGTGGTTTCTACGCTCGTTACGGAACAGGCTGGAATTTCAGTCCTGAAGGGGAACCGAAACCGAAAAAGCCTTTTTTGAATTAATTTTGAATGAATGACAAATCCAGGGAAACCACATGCCAATCCCTGACAAGTGAGAAAGAGAGAGAACAGTAAGGAAAACTCTTCATTCCCCCAGAGTCAGCTGTCCCAAGGGCAAACTGAGGGGCACGCGGAGCTGCCTCGTTAACGCCAGGGAGCAGAGGCTGTGCTGGAATTCCACATGGCTCTGGACAGACTAAGTAATTGCCTTTAAGCAGGACCTTAAAAGCAACAGGGTAATAACAGCTCTCGGTGTGAAACAACCCAATAAGCAGAGCTTGCTGACCTGTAGTTAATGCATTCCTTGGTGTAGGAGAGTCCATTAAAGTCCCAGGTTTGTATGCAGAATTCAAGGAGCCACACGGCCTGGGAGCAAGGGAAGTTTGTCCTGTTAGGGCAACTGAATCAAAACACCCAGAGTGGAAAGGTTTTCAGACCAGGCAGTATAATAACTGTTGTCTGGGAGGGTGACACGGAGATTGTGGACAGCAGCACGGGGTGATGTGCAGCCTGTGGAGCCTCCGTGCACCTCCCCTGGAATCTGGCCATGCTGGGCCAGGAGTGGCATTTGGGTCTTCCTGCCTCACCTCCTCCACATGGCAAAGAATTCCCTCTGCAGCCACCTGAGCATCGCTGCATTCCCAATGGGACTCCATAACCAGCACCAATAATTGCAGACACTGAGGATCCTCTTAAGGTCTGTCCCCACGTCACGTTCCCAGGGGGTTTATGGCTCAGCATGAAGTGAAACTTTTCAGAAAAGGAGCATGTCCTATGAGACCATTTCATCTAATCCAGATATCTGTGTTTCAGGAGGGTTGAATTCACGTTCCTGCAGTTCCTTATTGTGCCATCAGGCACCAAACCCTTGAATTAGACTCTGTGCAGAAGGATCTTACCCCCAAATTTGGGCTTCAACAGACAAGTTTACAAAGGCAATAGCTACCTGGACTCACAGGAAACAGATGTGACACACAGAGCTGAAGGGAGTTAAGGAAAAAGTTGGGATTCAAACCTAAATACATCAACCCTAGCACCACAACTAAAAAATAATATCCTAACCCAAAACTGTTTCAACAGTTTGTTTTGAAGATATAACCTGCAAATTCACTGTTCTATTTCCAATGAGAAAAAGTCCATTCCTGCAGGAATCCTTGTTCTGCTTTGCTGCCTGCTCGCTCCATGTGGAAACCAAGGTAGGAAAGCATCAGGACAGGGAGGCAGGACGTGGAATGCAGCTGCTGCAGGCACTGCTGAGGAGGAGGAGGAGGAAGAGGCTGGTGGCAAGGCCAGTTTGCTCAGTTTGGACCATGAAAACAGCCTTTCTTACACCTCGTGGTAATGTGCTGCTGTTTTGCCTCTTAAATGGACCCTGGCACCACAAGGAATTGCTCCAGCCCAGGCCTCCCACTCCTGACCCACTTTCGTTTCATCCCCTCCCTCCACAGCCCTGTCATCCAGCACCTTAGGAGCTCCTATTGTGGCTTTTGGAGTTTCCTGCTAATTTGGTCATCACAGGGATCCTCCTGGAGCACACAGCAATCACCACTCAGGATCAGACCAGTCCTGGAGCACAGATAACTCTGGCTCAGCCCCCGTCAGGTTCTCCCTGGGAGACAGACAGGGTTGGGCACAGTTC